ATAAAGATAGTGGGCAAATATATGACTTAGTAATTACCATAGTAATTATAGTGGTCATGATTGTGTTCAACACTATCGGTAGGGCCGGTCCTGAGATATTTAAGGCCCTGTTCAGAATTAAATAAAAGGCCTTATAAAAAGAAAAGGAATATTATATTGCCTTCTTCTCAATGTTAATATTATTTCTTTCCTATTGATAATTAATAATTAAAATTTACATATTCAGAAACTACATTAAAAAATTTATAAATTTGCAAAATCCAAGTTAAAATTTCACTAAAAATTGACCCTAATTAAAAGAATAAAATGAATCTTTTGACTCAAAAAAGTAAATTTCACAACTCAATTTGAGATCGATAGAGTATTCTATAAAATAATTGTGACATGGTAATTTTTGTCACTTATATTTCACATGTTGCATGTATGTGGAAGTAAAGTAGTACCAATATTACGTATAGTTAAATTCATTATGTGTTCATTTACAATAAATTAGAAGCAAATTGATTTCAATAACGGTATTTGTACTGATAATGATCGAAGTATTCCATGGGCCCTAGCTCCGAATTGGGCCCAGTGCGGGAATTCTAAATGCAGCCCCGGTTTTACTAAACACAACCCCTAATTAAAATTAATTAATTAAAAATAAATGTAATACCAATTATATCCCTATCGTTTGTCCCAACGTGTTTCTCTTGCCGTATGGCGGATTTTCGATGCGGCTCGGGTCTTTTATCACTTTTTCTCACGCCTTTTTTCCTTTTACATTTATTTTTTTAATCCCTAGCCCCTCCTAGCACCCTCCAAAAAAGCTTACTAGGATGAGGTTGTCAGGGAACTGGCCGGCACAGTCTGATTGGTGATTCTGAAATCCATGGGTGGGGGTATTTGAGTCGGTAAACGTAAAAGGAAAAATCAATTTTCCACAGCAGCTACTTGCGTAGGTGGGAGTTCTTTTCCTGTTTGGCCTATTTTGTCAAGTGATATGAATCACTACAGAGTACAAGATAGAGGAACGACGTAGGTGTTTATCTATAAATTTGGATAATATGAGGTGGATTAAGTACTCCGTATATGTGTAGCTTAGTTTTCAGGGGTTCTTTTTAATCTGGTTAGAAGAACAAGATAGCTGGGTTGAGATAAATATGTATTGGAGATGATGATTAGAATGAGTACTGGAGTACGTAGGTAGACATTTGAAAGCTCTTGAGGAACGCCCAACGCCGATGTGATGGCGAATGAGGTTGGGGCAAACGAGAAGGATAGAATAGACATTAGATTTATTTATTTTTGAAGGAAAAACTATTAAATATCACTTATCAAATCAAAGTGCAAAACATCCCGAATACAACCAGGGGGGTTTGAAACCCACACCTCACGATCAAACATAGAAACGGCCGCCCTAACAAGGCAATGAGCGGCGCGATTCGCAGACCGTCTAACATAAACGAAAGAGATACTAGGAACAAACTCTCTCATGCTTTTAATATCTTGCACAATAAGGCCGAAACTTGAATCTCCGCTATCAGAATTAATACTTGAAATAACCTCCAATAATAGCGAGCTCCACCGATCCTCAAAGCCCAAAGCTCGTAACATACCCTCTAAAAATCCCCATTCCACCCGGTCGTACGCTTTACTCGTGTCAAGCTTCAATGCTACAAATCATGTACTACCTTGTCTCTTCCGTTTCAGATAATGATAAGTTTCATAAGCAACCATGATATTGTCAACAATAGAACGTCCCGGGATAAAGGCGCTTTGATTCTCCAAAATAATCACATTCAACAAAGATTTCATTCTATTTGCTAAAACCTTCGAGAAAATCTTGTAGACCACGCTACACAGTGATATGGGTCTCCAATCTCCCATAACATCTGGATTATCCTTCTTGGGAATCAATACTAAATGAGTGTGGTTTATTTTATCAGGAAGCCTACTTGAGTCAGATGCAAGCCGACAAAAGCTGACCATGTATGGCCCTACAATTTCCCAGAAGTGTTGAAAAAAGCCCGGACTCATCCCATCCGGACCTGGGGACTTGTCCGGGTGCATGGAAAACAGTGCACACCTAACTTCCTCTGCCTCAATCGGTCTCAAAAGTGCTGAATTCATGGAGTCTGTCACCTTAGTCTTCACTTCCCCCAAAACAATCTCCATATTCCCCTAAAAAGAAGAAAAAATGTTAGAAAAATACTCCCCAATTACAGCTCCCTCCTCCTCCTTCTCACTGACCCATCTACCTCCCTCAACTCTCAACCCCTCAAGCCCATTTTTTCTTCTTTGTTGCTTCACCGAGTTGTGAAAATACTTGGAATTGACATCCCCATGTTGGAGCCAAAATGTTTTGCTCTTTGTTTCCAGAAACAGTTTTGTTGTTTTAAAAGCTCTAGATATTCACTGCGCACTCGTTCAAAAGCACCATTATCACCGACACCCAATCCTCCCCTCAACTGCTGCAATCTGTTCTTGCAGTATTCAATCCTTCTTCCCAAACCACGGCTCTTGCCTGCCCCCCATCTACCCACCTCCCGAGCACAAACTTCTAGTTGGGAAACAACCCCTAAACCCCTCCCCAGACCCCAACTTCTCTCCACAACCTCTCTACATGCATCCTCTCGTAGCCATAGATTCTCAAATTTCAACCTTCTCCGTCTATCTACCTGCTGACTCTTCCTTAATTTCATGAACAACTGGAGATGGTCACTAGGCGCACCTTCTAGGGAAACGGCTGCTGCTTCCCCAAACTGCTCCCGCCACTCACTGGAGACCAAAATGCGGTCAAGTTTCTCCTCGACCCATCTTGACGAACCTCTCCATCTTTCCCAAGTATATTGGTATCCTTCAAAAGCGAAATTCTCTAGCCCACATGCCCATAAAGTTTCTCGAAAGCCCCGAAGTAAGCATTTGGGGTGAGGGACTGACCCCCGTTTCCCCCCGCAAACATAAGATCATTAAAATCACCTATAACAAGCTAAGGGAGTGTAGATACCTCACTTAATTGTCGTAACAACCTCCATGATTCCTTCCTCTTGGATCTTTCCGGGTAGCCATAAAAGCCGATAAATCTCCACCAAACCTCACTCACATCCATTCTGATTCGAGCGTCAATGTAGTTGTGAGAATACCATTGCACCACACAATCAACATCCTCCCTCCACAACAGCGCCAAGCCTCCACGATGCCCATCACAGTCGACCGTGAACACATTTGCGAAACCCCAACAGCTTCTGAATTTCTTGCATCATTGTTGATGTTGAAAATGTCTACATAAGAAACATTATGGATGGCCTCTTAGAGTGGATTAAATCCACCAAAACCTGAACTGTCGAACAGTTGCCAAGCCCCCGACAATTCCAACTAAGGCAACTCATAACTGTAGGCGGGCCTACGACGCAAGACCCGCCTTCTCTCCATTTTTTGAATTGTTTGCCTCTGCCTCACATGATTCCCCTTCTATCTGCCTTCATTCCCTTCAATCACCTTCATCCTCCTCTTCCCCATACTTCCGCTACAAGACTCCTTTTTAGTTCCCTCCCTGTGTTAACCGCATTCCACACCCTGGGAGCCCCTAATCCAACCTACTTGACCCCCCTTCATAATTTGCCATTCCTCCTCTTTCATGTCCTCCCTCCCCAAACTCCCTTTCAATGTTGTCCTCCCTGCTCCCCGAGCACCCCCCCCCCCCCCCCCAAATTTCCTACCACTCGCCATTTCTTTGTCATGAACTAACCACCTGCTACCCCCTGAGTATGGTTCACTCCGTCCCCTAGCCCTCAACCATGCACCATATGGTTTTTCACCCACCTCTTAAGGACTTTCTAAATGTTTAGGGCACCAACGGTCCATATGTCCCAGACGTCCACATATAAAGCAAAAGGTTGGTAATCTCTCATACTTGAGGTCAACCCATACATCTTTGTCCTCCCTCTTTAGTTTCACACATCTTCTTAGAGGTTGAGTTACATCCAGCAGTACTCGAATCTGCACGAATGCCTTCCATATACCGTCAAAGTCTCTCTCATCTGCCTTAATGAATGCCCCCATCCTATTCCCAACCTTTCTGGCGACATTTTCTGTCATCAGGTCCATAGGCAAGTTATGGACTTGAACCCAAAACTCCGCTCTCATGAAAGCAACCTCCATTGGTCTCTCTGTAGGGTTTAGACGATGCAGAATGGGAAGGTTCCTGTCAAACGACCATGGCCCTTCTGATATAACCCGATCAATATCGAACTCGTGGTAAAATTGGAATAAATACCTCTGGTCCCCAATGTTTTTTATCGTAACCCCACGTCCCGGACGCCAAAGATCAACCATAGTATCTCAAAAGTGAGCGAACTTGACTGGCTTATCTGTAAGAAGTCTCTGCCCACTACCAAAAGATGTAGGTTCCCCATGGTCCCTTCCACACCATGTGAACTAACATCCAAACCTTCATCTTCCTCTTCTTCTAACGTCATGCGGGAATATAGAACCTCCAGAGATGAGCGATTCGAAGCCATATTACAAGAATTGAACTTCCAATTGAGAAAACAATTCCTATAGAGAGTTGCCGAATGAAACCCTAGAGCTGCTAGGGGAGAAAACTTCAAAATTTATTATGTACTCTATTTCACATTTCAACATGATTTATGCATTCATTGTTTACTTAGGTTATTAGTTCTGTATATAAATACTTGCAAGTTGGGTGGGGTTGAGTGGGGGCAACTGTAGATCCGCCCCTGAGTTCATGAGGTCAGTGAAATTGACCTAAAACTCGTAAGACCAAAAGTGGAATTTATTCATTACAATGGGATGCAGGGCGCCAGGGCTTGTCATATAGGTCAAGTTGTTTTGAAATATTTTTGGGACAATTATAGTGGGGGAAATGGGACAATTAAGTTGTTTTCATCAAAAAAAATCTTTCTTAAATTGTAACTTGTAAATGGTAATAAAATTTTGGTTGGGTAGCCGATCGGAGCAATCCTTAATTGGGAAGGCAAAATCAAGAAGGAAAACGTCATATTAATAGAATAATAATAGTTAAGGCTACAGCAATTAACCAAAAAGATTTGGGCTGGATTAGTCCAAGATAATCTCTATATATGCAGCCTACAACAACAAAAAGTTTGTATTCCTGCAGTCAGTGTCAGTCTCACTGCATTCCTTTCCTCATCAGTATTCTGTTTTACACATGGCTGCTAGCCAGACAAAATCTTGATATACTAAATATCCGTAGCTTAAAAGTTGCATAATGGTGGAAATCCAGACTTTTACAAACACTAATATTTTTTAAATTAATAAAAAAGTGATCAATCTGCTAGAAGCTAGTGTTCACCGTTATCAAGTTCAAATCAAGCACGCTTTGCTTTCTTGTTTTTAGCATTGCTTTCCATGGAGGTTGCTTTTTTCTTTGCCACTATAGGCGCTTGTCCATTCTCTTTCCTGCACAAATTTTAATGCATATGGTTAACTCCCAAACAGTTTCAGGAATAGTCGGTTTACACACAATGAGATTTTTGGACGTGAAGGCTTTGAAAGGCTTAAACAAATCTCATGAGAGATTGATCGAAGTTCTTCTCATGGTTTCTTGCTAAACTACAGTCTACACCTAGGATTATACTCCGTATCATATACTGTACTCTTCTTCAATCACAGCATGAAACAAATCCTACCTGGACTTGGAATTTTCCTTCCTGAAGGGCTTCCGCTTTTCCTTCCTCTTTATTTGGGATTGCTTTTCTTCTTTCTTGGAATTCAACTTTCCGTTTTCTTTCCCAAGCACTAGTTTGTCATTATAGATCTTCCTCTTTTTCGAAGTGTTTTGGCTTTTAAATTTTGCATCTTCATCCAACTGTGCCTTGGTATCCCGTTCAGGATTCTGCTTTAAGTTGTCAATCATCTCAAGACCTTCCCCTGAATCTTTTTCTGACGTTTTAGCTGGTATGACATTACTCACTTTCTGCAACTGCAAAAAACAAGAGAGATGCACGGACTGTCAATCTATCCATCTAATAGTTGTAGATACTCCCTACTACGGAGTATTTTTTTTTTTCAAAAAAGTCATGTTTGAGAAAAAACTGACATTTCACATAGTCCAACAAATATTATGTGTCACTCTAGTAGTTAGTAGTATTAGCTTTTAAAAAAATTAACTCGCTTCGTCCCAATTTAAGGTTCCCACTTACCTTTATTTGACATCCCATATCAAGATTTCCTTTCCTTTTTGGAAAAAAGTTAAACGAGTTAACTTAAAATTTTATTATTACTTTTTAAATAAACACTCACAATGACACCATTATTCATCAAATATTCAGCCAATTATTTTCTCAAACATCCAACAATTTAATTTAATTACCTACTCCCTCCGACCGATAATGTAAGATACACTCGGGTTTGCCAGATGTTTTAAAAAATGATAAAGTTTTTGTTTTACCATTCTAGCCTACACAAAGTAAGAAATAGAAAAATAGGTTCATAAAAAGTAAAAGGTGAAATGATAAATATAGGGATACAATGATGATGTAAAAAGTTAGTGGAGTTTAATTTAAGTGTTCATACTTTTCAGACAATCCAAAAAAGGAAATTGGATCATACAAAATTGGGCAAAGGGTGTACCTTTTTAATCTTTCTAATTACTATTGTGCTCAACTATTCTATTTTATTACTTTCCTAAAACATCTTTACCTTTTTGCTATTGAAACCTAAGGGAGGAAGTATATTATTTTGAATAACTTTTTCTGGATGTGACTGATGCGACCCTAATTTCTGTGACAGTAAATTGAACGCTAATATTGAAGATACAGACGAGGCACTTCGAGAGGCCTCAACTCTCCCAGATCCCAATTCTTACTCAAATACCGACTACTTTTCCATTCTCCCATCCTACTATTTATTCTATTCCCAAAGCCCATTGACAGCCCAGTCCACTTATTATTTGGGCTAAGCCTACTTACTTCTTACAGCTTATTACAATATTATTTCTACTAATTCCCTTGCCATCTCAGGTTCGTATCAGTGACTTTCATTGGGCAAATTGCATTAAATATTGGTTTCACTATATTTACATTTACATGAAATATAGGTTCCATTTTTTTATGAACATGAGAGGGTGTGATTAAAGTAGATTCTTTCTTCCAAAAGAGGGGGAACAATGCTTGGCACGAACTATACTATATATTTCCAATGCAGGTCAACCAAACAAGTGTGAGACCCCACCTTTGCAACGAAAAAACCATCCATGTTGTGGACATGAGGATAGAACCGGCGGGTCTTCTCTAAAGATGGGTGAAAGCGGTGTTGCCTGAAACGAGTAAACCTGGAAAAAAGAAAAAGCCTAGTCAACAGCTTCAAAAGTATGCTTTCAGTAAATACACATGTGGAGAACAATCATACCCTTTCCTTGGTTCACCAAAATCAATTCCACATGGGACCAGTTTCACATTTCGTTTCTTCAGTGCATAGTCTATAACTCCCTCGTTCTACAAATTGCAAGTTTGAGAAAACAACAATGACTTTGTAGAATAAACTCTTCACAAAAGGTTATCTTTTAAGAAGATGCACACTCTGAAATTACACTTCATCCCTACTTACCTCATCAATCATAATGGAGCAGGTCGAGTACACAACATATCCTCCTGATTTTGAATTGGCATCTACCATATCAATTGCTGCAAGGATTAATTCCTACACATACCATGACAATAAATCCTTTGGGCAGGTAAAAAAAATGCCAGAAAATCAATGTCGTTGATTTTTGTTGGATTAATTCCTACACATACCATGACAATAATTTAAGAAAACAGCCACGATGTTGAATAGACCTTTTATTGACCAAGGAAACATCTTTAACATTAGTGGGTCACTTTATAAAGTCCAAATCCTTTGTACCCCATACCTCATTTTGATTAAGCAAGGTCTATTGCTTAGTTAGTTAATATAATTAAGAGTTAACGTGATTTTGACCTACAAAATGAGGGAAACGCAAGTTGAAAAAAAAAATATCAATTTGTTTAGAAATACTCACGAACCAACATCATGAGAAGTTTAAGACCAAGTTTTTGAAAACAAATAATTGGAAAATCTACACCTCAAACATGGGTCATGGTTGGATAACTTTAGTAGTTTGATTCTTCAACCAAAGTGTGTGTTACATTGCAACTACTAACCAGAAAAAATAGAAAATGATCCAAATACACAGCCAAAATGCTCAACATGCAAATAAATCTCAGAGTCATACCTTCTGCAAACAAACACATTTCTGTATGTCCTCAGCAGTTTTAGATGTCTTCACAGATTCATCCTTAGATATGACCTGCATTGCAAATAGCATAACATATTAATGATTATACAAAGAACAAGCCATTCCTTAGATATGTCAACCCAAAACCATACCCCAGTGCCACTGCATGGTGCATCCAATAACACCCTATCAACTGAGTTTTGACCTAGCACTTTGGGTAGCTGCAATAGTTTTTCACATTGAGAAAAGAGAAGAGTTTAGACGATTGAAAAAAATTAGACTCACCCACCAAGTATGTGCGCTAAAGGATTTGTACTAAGTATGCTAAAGCGGTAAGACCCATAGTTATTCTTGATGCTAACAAAAGATATAGAATCTATGGAATCAGAAATTCAAAATAAATTAGAGTATCTATGATGCAGGTAAGAAAAAGTGCGTACTTGATAAACTGAAATTTTGAGATAACTTGTTGCATGATAGAAATCGTAATTATATAAGGAAAGCCTCTAACCTCTCTCCCATCGTAGTTGCAAACGATGGTATTTGTTACTCCCATGCGCTGTAAATTAGCAGCAAGTGATTTAATTCTTGACTCCTTCATCTCATTTGCATAAACAATACCTAGTTATGGAAGTTAAAATGCAAAACAAAAAACATTAACAAAAATGCACAACCAACAATCTTAGGCAAACATTGTAGTCAACAAGATAACATTGTGATTACCCCTTTAAATTTCATAAAGTTCATGTGATGTACACAATTTGTATACATTTTTGCTAAGCAAAAAAGCTTCCACATCTCTCATTTCAGTTTCAAAAACTCAGAAGCATGTCTAGCACTTCAAAAACCTATTCCCGGGTCGTTTCCGCAATTAAAAAATAAGGAACACATGCCCTAATTGATTAGGGTTTGGTGAACTTTGGGCTTCCAATTTATTATCTTTTTGCTGGAATTTTTAGATGGAAATTATTGAATCTGTATGCAATTTAAATGCGAACTTTTATGGAATTTCTTAATAGCAAGTTAGCAGCATGGTCTTTGTGATGTTTCATAGCGCAATGCATAGCTAGAAATGTATCAAGTATGTACTAATATGTAATACTTCTATTTCAAGTTTGAAGTCCGAACATAGAGACAATATAAGTTTTTTATCATTGATTATCTACAGGTCTAGCAAACATATATGAAAATATGCACGCTCATACACACATATATATATGAAATAACATTCTTAAAAACCTACGCATCTCCCCATGTTCCATACCCTATATTTTTTTTAAAAAAAATGCTTTCCGTGCTCTCTTTTTCTTTGGATTTTTTAACTGATAAAAAAATTAGATGTGAAATTGGAAGAAGACTTTGAGTAGACAGAGTAGTTCTTCCTTACATACTTCAAGTGCCAGTTCGAGTCTTCTGCTCTTCTATAATCCATATGAAAGTAAAATTGAAGATCTAGTGAAATAGAACAATTCACTGATTCATTTAATCAATACATACCACTGTTTTTCATTAGAGCAGCAATATATGTTGTTTTGCCACCAGGAGCAGCACTGTAATGCATGCAGAAATATAAAATCAGGAATCAATGCAAGAATCTTGAGCAACAAAATTGATTCATGTGCTTCACTGTCAAAATGTTGTAAAAGGAACTGCAAACACATAACCATAAACTAAAGAAACCTTCATAGTTTGTACAAATTCCAAAGCCAGTCTTGATAGAGTAGATAAATACAAGGAACCTGGTGGATCTTTTAATATTAAGATTCCATGCTAACTATTCTTGGACACTACCTACTACTTAATAAGATATAAATTAAGATTATATTTTATAGAAGAAATCAAGATAAGTTTTATTTCCGTTGCTTTTTAGCTTAAAATGAAATTAGTAGCTACAGTTTTTTCAAAACAAAATGCAGAAAATCATCAGGATAGCATTCAATAAATTGGCACGATTTTTTAGGAAAGTGGTTAAATAAAGTAATTTTGGGTAAAAGAGAGGAAAGAGAAAATTTAGAAAAAGTAAACATATAAAGTGAAAGTATTTAAAGGGAGATAAGTTGGGAGAGGGGAAATTGTGAGACTTAACATGTAATGGGTAGGAAAGAGAAATTTGAGTAAAGGTGTAATTAAAGAGAGTAAATTATTTCCTAAAATGGAATGGGGAACTTTGAATGGGACACCCAACTAAGGAAACTGGGAACCTTTCAACGGAAAGTAGGGTGTACAAAGGTATGCATGTAAAAAGAGGTTACTGTTGCTTACGCCATATCTACTATTCGTTCTTTGTCCTGAGGAGCAAGAGCCATAACAGGCAAAAATGAGCTTGCGCCTTGAAGCTGTTAATATGCAATCTATTTGTGAGGAACAAACAACTTAGTAATTGAGCAAAAAAAATGATTGAGGTCTCCTAAATATACCATATAATGACCAGCCATATACTCGGGAGTTGCACCAATTGGTACTTGTGAATCAAATACCACCAATCCAACCTACAGATCATGTGAAAAGTCATGTATCTAATATGCAAGACTATGTGATTCATGGAACCAATTAGTGTTACACTTATAAAACAAGTCTCACCTTTGACCATTTGCTAAGTGGATCTAAATTGACACCCCTGTTCAACAGCACACCAGCTAAATCCCGTCTACGTGTCTAGATCAACTTAATGGTTACACAAAATTAGAACATGTCACACTTTCACGAAAGAAAAAGGTATAAGCAAGTAAATTCACCTTCAATGTGTTTGTTCGAATACATATTGGTCGGGGCTTCTCAAACGCTTCGATAAGTTCCATAAGCTCAACAACCGGAAACATCTGTATTCAGTTTGTAAGATAACCATAATTTGCACTTTATTTAGGTTTGGTTTAAACAAATGCATTAAGATACACTTGTGAAGTTAAGAACTCACCTCAACTAAAGTTTCAATCATGAATTCATTGTATCCATAGTATGAAACTAAATCTCTCTTAAGCTGATCAACATAATCTTTTCGAGTTACTCCCTCTTGCCTCAAAGACTTCAAATTTGAGAGAACTCGTACAACTGATAGCATCACATCCGAGTAGAAAAATGAGTAATTACCCTCAATACTAGGAAATAAAATGTAAATAAAGCATCTCGTTAATCGCAAAACATACCTTCTTTTATCCTCCTTTGGAGATTGGTAAGATCAGGAGGTCTATGTGTTTCTTCTTCCAGTTCCTAAACATATGCAAGCATGTATGTATGGAATATTAACAAATATATTATGTAATATTATTAGTTCAAAACTTTATGGAACGAGCCTTATTCAACTTGAATACAGCTCTTTTTATTAGTCAGTGTCTAATAATTTATCAACATAATACCAAAGTTGTAATGATTTTGACGAATCACTCAGTAGTACATAAGTGGTGCGCACAAAGAATCTCATTTCTTATTAAATAAATAAATAAATAAATAAATAAATAAATAAATAAATAAATAAATAAATAAATAAATAAATAAATAAATAAATAAATAAATAAATAAATAAATAAATAAATAAATAAATAAATAAATAAATAAATAAATAAAAAGAATGAGAGTGAAATAGAAATATACCTCACTAGTGGGCAGTCTGAACTCATCAGCTTCTTCTTTAATATTAGTAACCAATTCTTTTTCACCTTCATCCTCTACTCGTTCCCTTTCTTTGTCAATAATCCTAGCTTTCTTCTCAATATCAGAAACATCAGAATCAGAATCTATATCTGAACTATCCTGTGCAACATCATCATCATCATCGCTCCCTCCAAGAATGTCATCTGCCAAAGCATCATCTCCGTCTGAAGAGATATCTGAATGAGAGTCAGCTGTCAACTCATCTTCTTCCGATGTTTCGTGTTCGTATTCAACCTTTTTTTTATTTGTTGCAGCACTGTCACTGAAAAATATATCCTCTTTCTCCAAGTTCTTCTCTTTCTCCGTTTTCTTCGCTAAGGGAGCTGCATTTTTCTTTTGCTTCTTGTTTGGTTGAGATTTCTGAGATGTCCTACTCTTTCCCTTGCTGAGCTTCAAATCTACCATTTGAACTAAGAACCAAAGAAATTAATCAATGCATACTGTGTATAAATGTCTGCAAAACTCACTGCTGAAAAGATTATGTACGAACAAACAAAACAAGATGGGATAAAATAAGAAGACAGTTAGTAATAATCGGCTAACCTCGTAGGGATATTTGACGAGCGGCGGGCGTGGTGTAGGCTGCGTCCGACTGAGGGAAGAGGGAGCCGGAAACGGAAGAGTGCAATGTCGCGGTGGAGATGAATTAGGACACCGAATATAAACGGTATACCTACAAAGAAGTATCTTGGGCATGTAATTTTCTAATTGGACTGGATCAAACATTTGGCCCAATAATTTTAAATCATTTTATTTCGCAAATATTAGTCCAAAGTGTCCAACCATATAGTTTTTAATTTATCATTTCTCGTGTCGATCGAACTTGGACAGATTTTTAGTGAGTAGGATGAAGTAATTTTTAGAATCCACTTTGTATCATTGAAATTGGTTAAATGGGTTGAATCTATTGAAACTCGTGAAAGTCTAGCTGAACTGACCCAACTTCACTAATTTACTAATTGGCGAATTATTATATTTAAATATTGTTTAATGATAAATAAAGATAAAAATCTTATAGAAAATAGATACAATATTCTTTTAAATAACTACAGTCAATTCAATCGCAAAAGAACTTAAAACTCACTTATTTAGATTATTATATAGTTCAACACGTAAAATCAAAAGTTATTTGTCTGATAGACAAAAATGACCGGTGAGCTAAAAATATTAATTATCAAACAAACTCTTAATACCTTTAAACTGGAAAGTAAATGTCAAAGTTAGTAATAAAATTTTATAACTAATATATTTAAATTTCATAAACTAATCTAAAAGTTAACTTACGTGTAAAATTTACTCACACCAATAAGCATTGAAATTTTTTAAAAAATCTTTAAAAATTGTTTCAGTCACAATTTATTATTTTATATATATCATATTTTATTATTCTTAAAATTAAATGTTCGTTATAACTATCATTTGCTTTTTTTCTTAAAAGAAAAACTCAAATTTGATAAAAGTTGGATATATAAACTAAAAGATCAAGAAGATTCCACGTTGAGCGAATAATATCAGACGAGAACTTTTCAATGAAATGAAAGTAGTACTCTTTTTCATCAAACTATCATTTGCTTACATTAACTATAGGTATTCGTTTAATTGAATTAAAAAAAAAACTCTAATAAAATTTCAATATTATTTAAAAGATTTGGAACAAGTGAAAGCAAAACGTGCAAGGTTAGAAAAAACATTTAGAAACGGTTCTCTTCACCTGATCTAAATGTTTCTGATCTGAATTTTTTAAGTTCTGATCTGATCTGAATGTTTCTGATTTGATCTGAATCTTTCTGATCTGGTCTGATCTGATCTGAATGTCCCTGATCTGAACTGAATGTTCCTGATCTGATCTGAATGTTCCTGATCTGATCTGAATGTTCATGATCTGATCTGAATGTTCCTGATCTGATCTGAATGTTTCTGATCTGATCTGAATCCTTCTGATCTGATCTGAAACCTTCTGATCTGGTCTGATTTAAATATTTCTGAAATCATAATTATAATTTTAATTTTAATTATAATAATTAGAAATGTAATTACACATATATAATTTAAATATAATTATAATTATAATCATAATTATAAAAAAAATTATAATTATAATTATAATAATTATAATACGTATAATTATTATTATACATATTACACTAGTTATAAATATAGTTATAATTAGAGGAAGCAGTTCAGCTCAGCTGGTCGCCGACCCACTCTCCCTTAGAGCATCTCCATTCATGATATTCAAATGAACAGATTTTCTAGTACACATAATTGCCATGTCATTCTTACACATTAAATTCTTAATAATCTCAAAGATTGAAATTATTCATCAACAATGATATTCATGTAGTTAGCTTTTTATGACATGCATTAAATGCATTTTAACTATAATCTACAATAATCCGGGATTTGAATCTTGATACCGGATTTTCTTTTTAAATAATGTCATTCTTACACATTAAATTCTTAATAATCTCAAAGATTAAAATTATTCATCAACAATGATATTCATGTAGTTAGCTTTTTATGACATGCATTAAATGCATTTTAACTATAATCTACAATAATCCGGGATTTGAATCTTGATACCGGATTTTCTTTTTAAATAATTCCCCTAAATAATCTCTTTGACTCTTTCCCTCAATGTTAATCCTTGAAATAATCTAACACGTCATCTCATTAATCTTCAAATAATCTTACATTCTTACCAATGGTGATGCCCTTATGGGAGGTCTCGGGTTCGAAACTCAATGGGGTGAGTTTCAACCTAGTTTACTTCAGCCCCCCCCAGACGTCTCCAAGAGTAAACAAAAAAAACTATAATTATAATTATAATTATATTTTTAGTTATAATTATTTCAAATATTATAATTTTAATTATAATTATAATATTTATTTCTATAATTTTAATTGTAATTACTCCGTGTAATATAATAATAACAAAAAAATACTAATAATAACAACAACAACCATAATAGTAATAAGAATAATAATAATCATGATAATAATAAATATCATAATAATAGTAATAATGATGATGATAATAATAATAATAATAATATTAATTATAATAATAATTACAATAAAAAACAAGAATAATAATAATAAATTAATAATAATAATAATAATAATAATTATAATTATTATTAATATTATTATAATTATTATTATAATAAATGGGATAAATCATGTATGAACTTTTCTGATCTGATCTGAATGTTCCTGATCTGATCTGAATGTTCCTGATCTGATCTGAATGTTTCTGATCTGATCTGAATGTTTCTGATCTGATCTGAATGATTCTGATCTGATATGATCTGATCTGAATCTTTCTGATCTGATCTGATCAGAATTTTTCTGATCTGATCTGATCTGATCTGAATAAAATAAGAATAAGCAATAAATAATAAGATTAAGACGAACAAAACAGCTTCTTAATCACTCCGCTACCATGTGCATAATTGACGACAAATACTAATCAATATGGTGATGCATATTTTCCCACTGTTGCTAATAGTGGCATACTTCGTATTTAGGCTCTGTTTGCAAACTCTATTTATAAGTGATTTTGGCTTTTTTAAAGGAAAAAAAGCACTTATTTTACCAAACACTACCAACTTTTACTATCTCCGTTTTCGTGTAGAATCTACTTTTTACTCTTTCTATTACACAAAAAGCACTTATTTTACCAAACACTACCAATTTTTACTACTAATCACGTTTTCCCAAAAAGTGTTTTTATTTAAGCACAAGTGGTTGCAAACAAAGTCTTAACATATGCCACATATTAATGTTTAAAATTCATGTTATGTGGAATAATAGTATTTGTGTCGTTCAATCGACACAAAAATCACATTTAATTTTGCAAAATATTTGTAAACTAAAAAATACGTCTTTCAACAGCTTCTTCACACGTTACGACTCTTAGAAAATGTTATAAATCTGATTATAACATAATGGCTTATATGTGCTACTGACCCATAAGTCAGTGAACGTCTTCTCACTTCTCATAAACCTACCTTTTCAAGTGACATTTTCTCATTGTAATGAGACATATATGCCTCAAATACCTCTATTTCAAAATATGATTATTTTACATAACAATACGACGTTGTTTATACATTCCATATCTAAATATGGGACGCCCATCTGACAGGTGTCAACGTTGTGGGGCTACTTTTTTGTACAATGAAATTGTTAAGGTCCTAGTGTAAATTGAAAAATCCAGCTTGAAGAAATTATAAGTACTATTCAATCAAATAGAACAATCTATATGAAAAGCATAAATTTAACCTATTGGGCTTCAACTAATTCTTTCAACATATTTAATAAAAAAAAATACAATAAAAGTAACTTTAATCGTATTTATGTTGATCATTACACAACTTTGAGCACAAAAATAAAAGTTACGTGTTTGATGAAAAAGTTGGGTATTGACGCTGATCAAACGAAAAAACGGATCACCAAATGAGCTCTAACTTATTTAATTTGCTAGCTTTCAGATGCTAGCTTCATAACATTCATTCCTAATTCGACAATTAAGAGAAAGTCGACAACTGGGTTAGGGCTTTTAATTTATTAACCAGGGTTCATTGTAGCAGTATTTTGAGAACTACTTTTAACTCAATCCTAATTTGGTAAATAGTTTTTTCTATAACATTCTTTTGGAAGAACTCTTTAGTATCACTTAGTGATTATTTACATGTAAGTACTAAATTACATATAAAAAAACCATTGACATCAAATTTGTAATTAAGACCTAAAATAAGGGGTTCTTGTTATTCAAACTCCAATTTTACAATACGAATAGTTATGCACCGCAATCAAATTTCTAAAAATATCAAATTTAAATAATAATGAGTATCAACCATGCAATTATGACTATTGTATATTAGAAACTGTGAATTGTAGATATGGATCACACATAGAGAATATATTTAATTTTTTGTAAGAAAAAAAATTCATTCACATATAACATGATATGAAGAAATATACATGTGTTCTTATATGAACAAATTGTTTATGTTAATGAAATATTTCAGTGCATTGCACAAATTGTGAAAATATATGTTAAGAAATAGATATGTAGAAGACTAGTTTAATAAATAAAAAACTACCCTAAATAATTTTAATCCCATTTTATATATTCACATTGCATTTCCGGTGCTGGTAAGCCCAATCGAAACATGAACTCAAAACCTGACATGCACATCGATGATGGAAAAATCTACCCATATTCCTAGATGGAAAATACAATTCACAAAATCCAGGTAAAGCGATAGTCTTACTAGTAACATTATCAAAATCAAATGCGAACATTTTATTTATCAAATTAAAGTCGTTTAGAATTCCCTCACTTAATTCCATTTTTTATGATGGCTTAAAATATTCGAAACGAATTCTTGTTGATAACGTGTTATGAAATGGAAGGAAAATTATCAGGACAGTAGCGAGAGAAAGCATGTTATGAAAAAGGTGTTCTTAGACGTGTACTTACAATGAATGAGAAAGCTTCTGTTTATAGGCTAAAACAAATGATTAATCAAAATGAGATGATTAATATTAGTTGCATAATCATTATCCTTTTTTTATCGTAAGGGTGTTTATATCATTACAATAACATTCAGCAGGGGTACAAGAACGTAAAATGATC